GCGAATCTTCAACTCAGGAATATTACCTGTAGAACCATCGCGCGCTTCGCGCGCGCTGAAGTTCTAGCCCAGGCCGGGGGGGTTGGAAGATCTTGGACAGCGCTATGAAGCACAGGCGCGTGACATAGTCGTGCCTCCTGAGGGCCTGTTGGGGACCTCTTGGGTCTTCGTGGGGGCATCTGAAGGGCTTCTGGGGGATTCTCCGCGCTTCTTCAAGTTGCTGTTAGAGGCGCCTCTTGGGTGCTTCTTGGGGGGGGGGGGGGGGGGCGTGTTGGGGGATCTTGGGCCCCTTGGGAACGACGTCGGGTTTCTCTGAGCAGTCGGAAGGTGATGTTCTGCAATCTGAAGCCGCCATTGGCCGTCTTGGCCGCGTGGGGGCCCGACTTGAGGGCGCCTCGGGCCAAATCCGAAGTCTCCTGGGGCCTCCTGTAAACAGTTTTGATGCGTCGAGGGCGCTGTTGGGCAATCCTGGGGCCCCTTGCACGTCCCCTGAGGCCTTTCGGGGCCACTTGGGGAGCTCGTGGGGGCCTCGTCGGACCATCTGGGGACTCTTGGGGCCTTCTCTGGGCCTCCTAGGGCGGAAGACTCTGCCGTTGGGTTCGCGTTCCCATTCTTGGGCCTCTCTTTGGACCGTCTTGGGGCCCTCTCGTGCCGTCTCGGGCGCCTCAGGCACCGTCTTGGGGCCTCGTGGGCCGTCTTGGGGCCCTCTTGGAGGCCTCTTCGGCTATCGTGGAGCGGTCTTGGGGGCCTCCTTGGGCCGTCGTGGAGCGTCGGGGTGCCGGGGGGCTGAAACGCTAAGATGCACCAAGAACAAAAAACATCAGTGATTTGAACTTCTCGGGGCCCTTTGGGGAGCGCGGGCCATCCGGGGGCCATCTTGGGCGCGTGAGAACGATGGCTCCGCGATGATAGGCCTCCCGGATGCTTCTCGCATAGTAAGCTTCCTGGCGGCCTCTCGCGGCGCTTTCCATCTGTGTCGGGGCTGTCTTGGGCGGTCTGGAAGCGCCCCCGGCGCCCTGGCCCCCCGCTGCGCGTCGGGGCTCTCCCCCGCCTCGGTCCAGCGGCGCCCAGGGGCATCTTGGGGCGGAGAATTGATTTTTCAATCCGCCATCCCTCTCTTGGGCCCCTCTTGGGACCTTTTCGGGGCCCTCGCACGCCGTCTCGGGCGGCGCCGGCGCCGCCCCGGGGGCCTCTCGGGCGTCGCGGAAAAATCTCGGGCCCCCTCGGGCGGCGCTTCAGCGCCGGAAACGCGAAGCAGCGAGATTGCAAAAAGAAGCGAAATAATTGAAATCACAGATTTTGCCTCCTCGGTCTCGGGGCGCTCTTGGGCGGCATCTTGAAGGCCTCTTGGGGCGTCTGAGGGGGCCTCGGGGCAATTTAAAACGCGTCGCGCGGCGTCTTGGGGGCCTCTTGGAGCCCGGGCGCCTCTCGGGGGCATCTTGGGGCGGGGAACTTTACTTTTCAATTCGCGTTCCCTCTCTCGGGCCCTCCTTGGGGCCTTCTCGGGGCCCTCTCGCGACGTCTCGGGCGGCGCCGGGGCCGTCTCGGGGCTCTCTCGGGCCGTCTCGGGGCCCTCTTGGGCTGTCTTGGAAAAGTTTCGGGGGCCTCTTGGGCGGTGCTTTAGCGCCGGGAACGCGAAACTGCGAGAAGGGAGAACAAAACAAGTCAACGATTTTGCGCTCTCGGAGCTCTTCGGCGGCATCTTCAAGGCCTCTCGGGGCGTCTTCGGGGCCTCCAGGTTAAAACGCGTCGCGCGGCCTCTCGGGGGCCTCTTGGGGTCCCTTGGGGGCATCTTGGGGTCTCTTGTTTCAATTCGCGCTCCCTCTCTTGGGCCCCTTCCCGCGGCCTTCTTGGGGCCCTCTCGCGACGTCTTGGGCGGCTCTGGGGCCGCCTCGGGGCTCTCTCAGGCCGTCTCGGGAGCCTCTCGGTGACCTCTTCGGCTGCTTGGAGCGGTTTCCGGAGCGCCTTGGGCGGTGCTTTCGCGCCGGAAACGCGAAACAGCGAGCATGGCGAAAACGAACAAAAACATCGAAACTGCAAAGCAATGAAAATCAACGATTTTGCCTTCCCGGGGCGCTCTTGGACTGCATCTCGAAGGCCGCTCGGGGCTTCTCGGGGGCCCCCGGGGCAGTTTAAGACGCATCGCGCGTCGCCAGAAACCCCTGGGCGGCGTGTCGGGGGCGTCTCGAGACCGCCCGGGGCCGCCGGGTTTCCTGTGTCTGGAGGCCCCACGGGGCGATGTTACGCCCCCCGGGGGCGGGCCGGCCCCGGGGCCCACATTTGCGGTCGAGGTTCTGGGCCCTGGGCCCCCAGGCCCGGCGCGCCGCTGCGCGCGTGCAGCGCGGGGGTGGATAGTCGCGCCACTCGAGGTGCCATGGGCAAGGTTACTAAACTGACAAGTATCCCGATGCACCTCTTGCAAAGACATGGCGCGCGGAGCTAGATATCTCCGCTTGAGAGCGGCCTTCGCACAGGCAGCTCGCAGGGGCGCGCGCGCGCGCTCCAAATCACTGCGCGCAGCGAGGGAAACTCGACGTCGCCGCCTCTGGAGGAGCTGCGCCAGAGGCGCCAAAGGCCAAAGACACCGCTACGTTTGGGTACGAGGGGAGACGACGTGCCCCATGAGCTGCGCGAGGTCGTTCTTGTCGAGGTCGCGATTGCGAAGGGCTGTCTCGCCCCACGCCGGCCCGCCACCAGGTCCAACAGTGACGCGAAGTACTCTGCCCCACCCAATCGAAAGGACCCCGCGGCCCCGATCACTGAACAGGCATAGCTGTGGGCGAGCTGTTGCAATGGCCAGCCTGCGCCGACGGAGCGCCGCTTCAGCGCGGGTCTGGCGAGGGCCCTTGTCGGGGCCAAAGTGCGCGCGAGCCTGCTCGACACCGGGTGCTTTGACGGCAAATTTCCCCCGCGCGCTATCCACGCGGGGATGAAGAACGCGTAATACCTGACGGGGGGCGAGCGCCACGAGACCTCAAACTTCGACATGGAAGCGCGTCGTAGGTGACGCCCCGACAGATTCGATCCCATGCTGGTTCTTGTCGAACGCAAGCTCCTGCAGCCGCGGGCCGAGCGCCTCGGCAACGCACTGGGCCGTGGTCGCGCTCTGCACCATGACCACCGCGAGCGTGGGGCCCGCGCCGCGGTCGAACCTCGACGGGACAGCCAGAGGGGCACGCGGGCGCCGCTCAGCCACCTCCAGGTGGCCACGCAGCTCCAGCAGCTGGCGCTTGAGGTCGGTGATGTTCTTCTCTGCAGAACCAAGGCGGCCGCCATGGTCGACGCAAGTGCCGGAGTGGGTGTCGCCTAGCCTAGCCATCTCGTCCACCTGCGAGCGGACAGCGCCCATGATCTGCTGGTCCACGCGAGCAGGCTGCCCAACAATATCAGCACAAAGTTTGTCCATCAGCCCGAGGACCTTTCGTTCGAAGAGTGCACCGTGGACTGTACCGCGGCCTGGACCGACTCACCGAGCTCGTTCCTGACCTCATTGAGCATGGGATAGAAGGTATGCTTGCATATCTTTCGCACGTCCTCATCAGACATGCATTCGTCGTCGGCCGCAGCGTCATCATCACCGCCATCAACTGCAGCACGCTTGCGAGGAACAACATTGCCACGAGCGGTGGAACCCGTGCCGCCCTTGCCCGAACACGCAGAACCAAGGGAAGCAGGGAACGTCGGCGCCAGGTCAATGTCTTCGCCATCTTGCTCCGTCAAACACCGAGACATCAGCACCACCTGGGCAAGGAATTGGACACACCTCAGTTTACCAAGCCCAGGGGATGAGCAGCGGGCCAGGCGTGGGATGCCACAAGGCACGGGCGGTTGAGCTCCAATGCCGCGAGGCTTGTCCTCGCAAAGAGGACTCGGGACCGCCCCCTCGGCATCGAGCAATAAGCTCGAAAGACCGGGGAAACGTTTCCAACTTGAGTCAAACTGGCTTCGGAAGGAGGAGGAGGAACATGAGGAGGAGGAGGACGACGACGAGGAGAAAAAGGAGGACCAGTGTAAACCCAAGACGTATCGAACATGTTGGAATAATCCATCCGTGTAAGGTTCCTTTTTTTCAGAGGTTCCTACAAGGACTTCCACCCAGGGAAAGGCATGTTGGGGGACAACCGCTGGAAAATCCCGAACCGGGCCAAAACACCATTCTCGGGAAACTCAGCGCCACGAAGCAGTTTGACTGTTGCGTCAGGACGACCCCGAATCGTGTCAGAACGCTGTCCCTAGGACGTCAAAACCGCGAATCAACGTAACTGTTGCGCCTTGGCAGTCCTGAGTCGCTCCAGAACAACAGTTCTTTTACGTTCAGCATGGAAGGTCGCGGAACTCTTGCGAATTCTTAAGACGAGTGTGCGCTGCACTACCGCGAGGTCCAAATTTTGAAAACCGCTCGCCCTCAGTCCGTGAAGGTTTTGCAAAAAGGTTTAAACCGAACGTGCCCGGCGCGTAGGCGAGAGCTACATTTTGGAAGCGGTTCGCCCACCATTTGTGAAACGGCTGTGAAGAAAGTAGATCGTACATGGTGAGGAAGTCTCGGGCGAAACGCCCCGCACGCCCTTCCGACCGGCTTCGGGTTGCGACAGGTGGGGGGGGTATTCATAAGGAAAAAGCGGAAGGGGGAGGAGAAGGAGGAGGAGGACGAGGAGGAGGCGGAGGATAAGGAGGAGGAGGAGGCGGAGGAGGAGAAGGCGTGGGCTCCAGGCACTGCCCAACCAGCCCGCAGCGTTAATTGGCGGCGCGCGCCACCGCCCTCTGAGAAGCCTTCTGAAAGGCCCCAAAGCCTTTACAGGTCCCGTTTCCCCGCGGCAGGTTCGGCCCGCTGGCCAGGTTGCCTGCGACAGCACGGGCGACTGCTCGGAGATCTGCCCAAGCGAGTGCCCGCGCGGCGGTGGCGGGGGCGGCGGCGGCCCGCCGGCCGCCCCCTGTGGGAGCCGCGCAGGGCGGGCGGCAGACTGCTGCTGCTGCGGCTGCTGTGCTGGATGAGAATGTGAGAGGGGGCATGATATCGGGTGGGACCCGAGCGTAGAACGCGGCAGGTCTTCGGCCGATCGCGGGGAGGCGACTTGGGCCCCTCCGACGGCCTCCGCCGCCGCCCCCTTCGCACTGTCTTCTTCACCCCACCCCCATCCTCTCCTGGTGGCAACCCCCTTACCGCACTGTCCCTCTACCCTGGCTTCACCTTCCCTCTCGTCCTCCTGATCCTCCCCGTGCTCCCCGTCCCCAGGAGAGGGGCGTCCAAGAGGGGGGTCGCAGATTATGGCCAGAGGCACGTGCGCGGACAAGGGAAGAAAAAGAAGAGGAGGCCGCGAAACTGCGGAGAGAATCTCGGCCCCGGCCATGATATCCACCCCCCTTTTCTGATCATCCTCCCCCTTCTAGACGCCCGGGCAAGCGCTATTGGAGGAAACCCAGACGTTCTCGCGTCGTACCAGATTATCCTGGCGCAGGGCCCAACCATGCAACTGTGAGAGCCGGCTCCCATTAGTGCCACGGAACCTATGAAAGGTATGCCGACATGGGCGTGGTGGTGCCATGCGAGCGCCGCCACTCGGGCCCTCGGTGGAGCTCCCTCTGGGGCCACGGAGCGTGTGAGGGGTGTGCCGAGATGGGCGCGGTGGTGCCATGCGAGCGCAGCCACTGGGGCCCTCGGTGCAGCTCCCTATGGGGCCACGAAGCGTGTGAGGGGTGTGCCCGAATGATTGGCATGCGGAGGGCCGAGGCAGTGATGGGAGGAGGGAGGAGGAAGGAGGAGTGAGGAGTGAGAAACGCGGGGCGCTGCCTTTTCAAAACGAAGGCCCAACTCTACGGGATGGTCGGGGGACATCAGCGGGACCTTGTTCGGTCTGCCGTACTCGGCCCCCTGGGGAGTCCGCGCGCCGGGCCCTGGGCCGACAAGGAGCGACCCGGGATGAGACACCGGCCATGGGGACATAGAGGCCTCCCAGACGGGGTCCGAGTAGATGGGGGGGTCGGACGATTGCTGCGCATCGCCGATGTATCGGCGATGTATCGGTGATGCATCGGCGATGTCGGCGATGCATCGGTGGTCGGCGACGTCGGCGTGGAGAAGATCGGGCTCCACATCGAGCCACATCACCAATGTATCAGCGATGCATCGGCGATGCGGCGCGATCGACGCGTGGATTTGATGTGGTGTTTCGTGCTTTGGGGCTCGTACTGGTGGTGGCTGGTCTTGCGGTTTTGATGCTTTTATCGGCGACGATCACGTGGTGGACGCGTATCCTCCGACCCCCATCTGCTCCGACCGCATCTGGGAGGTTTATAGAGGGAAGGGTCGGTACTTCCGGGGGGCTCCGCATTGGAGAACATCAAGACGCCGCCTGTCTGGGAAGGGCGCCTGGAGGTTCTTAACTGTTTAGGGGCGGGACCTGAGGGCCCCGCGCGGGCCCGGGGGCCGCCAAAGAGCGGCTCACGGCAGGTCTGCGCTGGATCGGATCGCGAGATCGGATCGGATCGAGAGCGCATCGAATCGCCAGCGAATCGTCCCGAATCGATCGGTATCGAATCGCCGCGCCCCGCTTCCGGCTGGCCCTGGCCGATGTTGGTGAATAGAGCCAGATCGCATCGAATTGGAATCACGGCCCCAGCGTTATGTTGCTCCCATCGTACTGAAGGACCACATCCCAGAACTAATTTCGAGCACCCAAGAAAGCATCGAAACAGTGTAGAACGAGCATCGCTTCGCAGGGCCCGACGCGCGAAAACCGCCAGTCTCGGAACCTTCTTGGTGCTCGAAGTTTTTCCGGGTGATCAAGGCTAAAGTAGGTTGGGGAAATCAAAATGTACCGATACCGCTACTCCCCGGATATCTCCCAAGGTGCGTTCTGACCAGAATTTCGAAGCGAATCCAGCGGTGGCGACGAGGGCCTCCGAGGAGGCCCAATACGGGGGAAAAACGGGCACCTCCTCTTCTTCTGAGAACAGAGCCAGATCGCATCGAGTTGGAATCGCGGCCCCAGCGGGCGCATCGAATCGGATCGTAAGCGGCCCCGCTCGTGGTGAAGAGCCGGCCCCTGGGGACACGCACCTGGGGACGGCCCTCCGCTCATGGCGAGGGGAAGGCCCCCAGATGGGTTCTCTTGTCGAACCCATGAGAGATTACGTCGAATAGTCCGTCGATCTACGGAGCATTGTAGGGATGCTTCGTGGATTCGGCGGGGAATCCATGGCGAGGGGAGGGGCGTGGCCAGGTCGGGACTCCGGGTGCGCAGGTCGGCCGCCCGCAGACAGTGACCTCCGGTGCGCGGCCGCAGGGGCCGCGGGGGGGCCAAGTCCAAGAGCGCAGGCCAGTGCCGTGGGGGGCACCCCTGTCGATCAGCAGCAACAGGAGCCCCATCCCTTTGGGAGGGGACCTGGGTTGGGAGGGCCCAAAGAGCAGTAGGGATAAGGGGCCTTTGCCACAAATGTATCAGACCAAACCGCCCAGAATTATGATCCCTAAGTCGAAGACGGGGACCTAAGTGAGGCCACGTCTTCATCGTGTTATTAATTAGGGTTAGGGGTTCTTTGTTCTCTATGACCTGTGAGCCCGAACCAAAGGTCACTCCGGCGAGGGGTCACTCTTGCGTGTCGCCGAGCCGGGAGCGCGCCCCTGCAACAATCGGCGGGCCCGCCGGGCGCCAGCATCATGTGGAGGAGAGGCGGGGGAGGCGGGGGGGGCGCGCGGCAGCGAGGTGGCCACGACAACTCCTCCTCCTCCTCCTCCTCCTCCTCCTCGTCGTCCTCCTCCTCCTCGTCGTCGCCCTCCTCCTCCTCCGAGGGGGCCCGAGCTTCAGGACCGACCCGACCGCCTGGCACGCAGAGAGCGGAAGAGGGGGGCGGGGGGGGGGGCAGTCGACCTCTGGGTGTCTCCTCGGGGTGGGGGGAGGAAGAGGGGGGGAGAAGCTCCGATGGCGCCCCAAGCCGCCTCCTTCTCCACATTGCTTCTTAACTGCCGCGGGCCTCAGGAACGACAGTTTTGCATATCTATAATCGGCAGACGACGTGAGACAATTACTTCGGTTTCGCGGCCGGAGCTACCGTCAAATTGGCAACGCAACAGCAATCAGGCCAGCACTGGGCTCCAAGGGCGTTGCTCGAGTGCGACCAGAGCCGCCCGAGCACTGGCCTAACCAGTCAGCCATGGAACTGCCGCCTCAGGGCCACGATGAGTCAGGTCAGTGCCCGGGCCTCCTGGGCATCACCTGAAGGGACTCGACAGAACCGAAAAATGACAATTTTTTCCCCGACCAAAGAAGGCCTCATAGATAGAGTCGGAAGATCGCACCGCACTGCTACTGCATCGGCGCCATCGGCGTGGAGAGATTCTGGCCCCACATCAAGCAGCATCGGCGATGCATCGGCTATGTGGCGCGATCCTCCGACCCCATCTGCTCCGACCGCATCCAGGAGGATTTGAAGGGTCGGGACTTCCGAGGGCTCCGTATGGGAGAATTTCAAACGTCGCATGTCTGGGAGGGGGCCCTGATAGTTTTGTTGCCGTTTGAGGGCGGGGCCTGAGGGCCCTACGCGGGCCCCGGGGCCGCCAAAGAGCGGCTCATGGCTAAGAGCCAGCCCCATCTGCTCCGACCCCATCTTGGAGACTCAAGCAAACATGTGGCGGGTTCCGGAAACCCTGAACGCAAAAATGTTGTCATCTCTTGGGGACGCAATTTTTACTTCCGCCACCCTCCGCCGCCTTTCCGCCGGGCTCCGCCGGCGGAGGCGGCCTCGCTTTCCTTTCTCCGACTTCCGCCTGCCTTCCGCCGCCTTCCGCCGACGAAGAGTTGCCAACTCCTGGCCCTTTCTGGAACGCCCCGTTTGTTTGGACGGGTCAAATCCGCCCGGTGGCCGTTTTTCTCTCTTCGAGGTAACGGTCGTTACCTGGGGAGGCGGGGGAGGGGGGTTCGGGCGGGAGGGTAACGGTAACGGCGGCCGCGGCGTGCACCCGCCAGGGTGCGTCCGCGCCACCGGCGCGTCAATCGCCTGTGTGCACAGCAGCATGCAGATATGTGTATATGAATATATGTACATATACAGACTCCCCCTCCCAGTACGATCGTTAGCGTTGTCCAGGGGCGGGGTGGAGGGGTGGTGGTTTGGCCTGGGTATCCAGAGATCCAATGTTGTGATCTTTTCAATGCGCGGCCCCCGAAAGTCTTGACCCAGTCCCCAGGACCCATGTTTTATCCTGAATCGTTTCTTGACAGTCTCGAGGCCCGGCGAGGGCCCCTAGGGGCCGAAATTTGCAAACACCATCCGCCTTGATTTTTTCAATGCGCTGGATCTCTGGGAGCGTTACCCTGGGGAGCAAAAGAAAACGCGCACCCAGTGGACGGCCAGGGCGCCGGCGGCCGCGAGAGGCGCCAGCCGCGCGCATATGATCCAGTGGTGGGCCTGCGAGTGGCGGTCGGGGCTCGGCGGCCCGAGGGCCTGCCGCGGGCGGCGCACATCCCCCGCCCTGCCACCAGAGGCCTCCTGGATATGGGGAGGAGGAGGGGGAGGGGAGGAGGAGGAGGAGGGAGGAGGAAGGAGCGTGCAGGAGGGAGGCGGGAGGAGGAGGAGGAGGAGGAGGAGGAGGAGGAGGAGGAGGAGGAGGAGGAGGAGGAGGAGGGGGAGGAGGAGGAGGAGGAGGAGGAGGAGGAGGAGGAGGAGGAGGAGGAGGAGGAGGAGGAGGAGGAGGAGGAGGAGGAGGAGGTCGAGCTGGAGGGAGGAGGGGAGAAAAGGAACACCGTTCCAGGCCTCCCCAATGGGGCCCAAGAAGATGGGGTCGGAGGATCGCGCCACATCACCGATGCATCGGCGCCATCGGCGTGGAGAAATTCGGACTCCACATCGAGCCGCATCGTCGATGCACCAGCGATGCGGAACGATCCTTCGATCTCATCTACTCGGACCCCGTCTGGGGGGCCTAGATCCACGTACCAGCGGGATCTTCGCTCCAGCTCCGGCCGCAAACCACCGCAAACCGTTTGCTCATCGCGCCCACTCACGAGCGGCGAACATATCCGTATCCGCGCCCTTCTGGTCTGGATTCCGGGGCGCAATCCTGGCGATACGCGGCCGCAAGGTTACGTTCCGCGCGGGTCATCCACGAACAAAACGCCCCGCATCCGCGGGGTCGCGGCCCAGGGAACCGGCCCGCGAGGCCGTGTTTTCCCCAACGACCCACGCCACTTCACGAGCGGGGGCGGGGAGGCACTCGCGCCAAACCTGGGGATAGGCATGCCAGTCAATTTGCGGACTGCAGGACTGCTGTGGAGCGCCCTTGTCAGGTCCACTCGGTAGCAAGTGGAAGAGAAGGCAGGCGGAGGCGCCTCTATATCATACACTTCAGAACCCGAATCAGGAATCGTTGAATTTGAACTTACATTTCGATCGTCCGTGCGTTATCAAACTATGGCTTCAAGATCATGCGCTGTGGAAACTCGCCATCGTCCTCCCCCCCACCTCATCCCCCGCTTCGCCTGCATCCCTCCGCATCCTCATCCTCTTTACCCTCTTCTCCTCCGCACTCCTCCTCAAGCATCCTTGCCCCCCTTCTCCCTCATCCCCCATCCCGTTTCCCTTCTCCTGCACCCCTCCTTCCTCCCGCTCTTCTCCTCTTTCCCTCCTCCTTCCTCTTCCCGCCTCCCTCTCACTCTTTCTCCTGAGGCTACCTGTGGAGGCCTCGTGGATGGGGTGGGGTCCGAATCGATGAAAGATCCGCGGACGCATGTATGCTTAACCTTTGGACCTGCTCAGGCTGATCCGGATGTTCGCTGTGACGGCTGCCGCCTCTGATTGCTCCACTGCGCACTCCCACGCTTCCCTGATCAATGCAACTCGCCAGGGCTTCGTTGCTGGCTGGATGGACTGGTGGGGATACGCGGAGCGTGAAGAGTCAGAACGCCAATGCCAATGCTGCCAAGTGTGATGCAGGACTTTTCGATGAAAGCGCCCCGCAGGCAGCAGTCCTGTAAATGCTACTGAAATCGATGGATGTGTAAGCAGCTGCGGACACACACACACACACAAACTATGCCTTCCTCCCTTCCCACATATCTATACGAACCATGAACATGAGGAGGAGCATGATGTAGTCCACGGCGCTCTCCGACTTTGCAGGCTTCGATAGCGGCACATCTAATTAACACGCGTGCGCAATGCATCGTTGCATAATCCAGTGCTCGCGCAGCCTGAGCAACCATAGTATCGTCAAAGCATGTGGAACTAAACATGTACTATGGTGATCGCGTCGGTGACGCTGATGATGGCACTAAACAAGCAACATCTCATGGACTGCGCTCGACCACCAACTCCAACATCTTATTATGCCCGCATTCCTCGATCAACTGGCGCAAATCGTTGCGAATTCCGTTCACCTCGACTATGCGGTCACCAGGCTGCACTGCCAACTCGGGGTGGTCGTCGTTCCACTGCTGGAAAAGGTCGCCCGTCACTGCGTCGACCTGCAATGTGACACCACCCTGGTAGTCGACTTGAACGCCGAGCTTCCTCCCAGTCGTCTTGTCGATGAACATCTTAAACTCGATGCCAGGGCGCTCGGCCTTCGTCACCCGCGTGCGCTCGCACCCATTGCGCCCCAGCTCAACACTGCAAACCTTCTCGTCGGTCTGCATCGAGCGACGCCCCATCACGGGCTCGGCCGTTTCGTGGTCCCCGTCGGTGGCGCAACAAGCAGCGCCCATGAGCTACCCCAGAGAGCCCCGGCCTTCAATGCCTTCGGCAACACCAGGCCTTGGGTGAGGGCCAAGCTGCGCTTCAGCAAGAGAATCGTGTGCCCAAATGGCTACGGTCCGGCTCACCTCATGGCTGGGCAACGACAGCCAACGCTGTTTGCGCAGACGACGCCCGCCGCTCGATGGACCACGCCCGCCTTGAAGCCGACAGCGATTCTGCGGACGGGAACTACTGCCAGCCATCACCACCGAGCACGAAGCGGGCACCTGCAGGCCGGAATGCGGAACAGGGCGAACTGAGACAATGAGACAGTGGCAACTCCAAGCAGATCCCCTGACGCCCCCCCGGTGTGCAAGCGCACCAGCTTTCCGAGCCGCGTCCAGCCGTGGCGACGCGGGGCCCCCCCGTGGTCTCGGCTCGCCGTCCTCGGAGAAGCCCACGACAGGACGGCGGCACCGGGCAGGAGGCACGACCTCGGAGGTCTGGGCCACCGCTCGCGTCGTCCCCATGCAGACACGCGCCCTCCCACTACTCGCAGGGCGACTGCTCGCACATGGCCGGGCCCCGCCGCGGGGGACTCACGATCCAGCACGTCGGACGTTTGCGAGCAGGCACTCTGCGAGCAGTGGAACGCCCTCGGTGGACGTGTTTGCGGAATCAGTCGCAAGGAGCCGTGGGCGACGGGCGGCCTCCAGGAGAGGCCTCCGGGAAAAGGGCGGCCAAAGCGCCACGGAGGGCCGCCGCTGTCCCGACCGACCCTTCCTTCCGAGGGCACGGGCGGCGCGGATGAGTTCTAGGAGGAGGAGAAGGAGGAGGAGGAGGAGGAGGAGGAGGAGGAGGAGGAGGAGGAGGAGGAGGAGGGAGTGGGAGGGAGGAGGGAGGGAGGGAAGGGAGGGAGGGAGGGAGGGAGGAGGAGGGGGGGAGGAGGGAGGGGGGGAAGGGGAAGCGGGGAGGGGGGGAAGGGGAAGCGGGGAGGAGGGGGAGGAGGAGGAAAGGGCCCAGGGCCTGGGAGCTCGCGGCCGGGGCCGGGACCTGCGGCTGGCCCTCTGCCCGCGGCCACCTGGGCGGGCGGCGGGGCGGGCGCCCCAGGACCCGCCCTTCTCGCCCTCCTGCCCTCGGGCGGAGGCGATGGCTACCCCCTGACCCTCCTCCTCCTCCTCCTCCTACTCTCTCCCCACCACCACCACCACCACCACCACCACCATCACCATCATCCCCATCATCATCATCATCACCACCATCATCATCACCACCACCAACACCACCATCATCATCATCACCACAATCATCATCAGTACCACAATCATCATCACCACCACCCTCCCCCTCATCGTCATCACCATCGCCATCACCATCACCATGATGATGACGATGATGATTATAATCATCATCATCATCATGATTATCATCAGCATCATCATCAGCAGCAGCAGCATCAACATCAGCATAATCATCATCATCAACATCATCATCAACGTCCGTCCCCTTCTGCCCCTTCCCCCCTCTCCTCCTCCTCCTCCTCCTCCTCCTCTTCCTCCTCCTCCTCCTCCTCCTCCTCCTTCTCCTCTTCCTTCTCCATTTCGTTCCATGCTAACTTTTCCCTGTCGCACCCAAGGCTAATGTTTACGGCGGTCCCTGTGTTTCGCCTGAGACTTCCTCACCATTGATGGCCCTGAAGCTTAAACATTGGCAACAATTTCACATGTGGAGGGCGGGCCGTTTTCAACATGTGGCTGTCGCCTTAGCGCCGCGCACATTTGTGTTTTAATATTGGAAGCTGTTCACGGATTGAGGGCGACCCGTTTTCAAAATGTAGCTCTCGCCCTAGCGCCGCGTGCACTCGCTTTGAAACGTCGCAAGAACTTCGCGGATTGAGGGCGGCTCCTTTTCAAAATGCGGCTCTCGCCGAAGCGCCGCGCACATTCATTCTTTGGTTATCTGCAAGAAATTCATGGATTCCCATGATCAGCGCACCATGTACGGTGTTTTGGAAGGACTCGCGATTAGGAGGGTGCAACAATTACGTTGATTCGCGGTGTTGCAGTCCCAAGAACGGCGTTCTGGCACGATTCAGGATCTTCATGACGCAACAGTCGGGTTGATCCGTGGCCTTCAATCCCGAAACCAATGTTTTGGCACGCTTCAGGCTCTTCAAACGGCTGTCTTCCAACGATGCAGTTCCCCCAGTGAAAATGAAACGTTGTATGGGCCTATGAAGAGGGAGCTTGGAGGGAGGGTGTATTCCAACATCGTTGATGACTCTTGGGCTTACACTGGTCCTCCTCCCCTTCTCGTCCCCCTCTTCGGCCTCCTCTTCGTTGTCCACCTCCTCCTCCTCCTCGTCTTCCTCTTCCGTACTCACGCACGCACTGGTCCAACCCGTTCTGACGCCTGTCTCCAAATTCGTTCTGCTTCCTGGCTCCCCCCGAAGCCTCTCCAATATCCCCCCCCAACTGGACTCCCTCACTAGTCTCCTTTACGGAAGTCCACGCGTCCAGGGCGCTGTGTGAGATTACTCTAGCCCCCTTCGCGCTGACGAATGCTTGCAATATCCCTGGCGCCATCACGGCAGCCAGCCCCAACTTGACCAGAAATTCAAGCGACCCTGTCCCCTGTCCCGAGGATCCTATACTTGTAGACAGTGCAATTTATCATAGATCGGCCGCACTTGCATTACCCAACCTGCATCATACCTCATATGTCACACGACTCTGAACATACTCAGATGAGACCACTACTGCTACATGTGTAGCAAGCTCCTGCCTGGCGTCGGTTTCTCGGTGCTACCTCCGCTTAGCTCCCCCCTCATCGCCCCGCACCCCCTCTTTCCCCTTCCCCCCCTGGCCCCGCGCCTCCTTGGCTTCCCCCTCCTAGCCCAGCACTCCTTTCTCCACATTTCCGTTGTCCTCCTCTTGCACCTGTTCCCCGTTCCCTCCCGCCCCCCTGCCCCCGACGACATCCCAAAGCCCTCGATCAGCCCCCCCTCTGCCTTCCCCTCCAAGATTGCGGTGGAAGACGCGAACGGAGGGGATACAGATCGGGCGGGGGGGGGGGTGCGCAAAGGAACAGGGGGGAGGAGGGGGGGGGGGGCAAAGAGAATGAACGAGAGAGACACTGCTCCCAAAGCAGGAGCAAGGGCAGGAGACGCAGTCGAGAAGGAGGAGGACAAGGAAGAGGAGGAGAAGCAGAAGGGCGGAGGACACGAAGCCCCTCCTCTCCCCAACACCCTCGAGGGGCAGCGCGGGCGGTCTCTGCCCACCAGCTCCCGAACCAGCCGCCGCTGTCGTCGGCCTCCTGCTGCGGCTGCGCCTGCTAGCATCCGGTTGAGAACTGGTGCTCGTGGTGCACGGTTGGATGGTGCAGCATATGGGCGATTTAGGAAACCCTGAAACCAAACACGTTTTCATCTCTTGGGGGCACGTTTTTCACTTCCGCCGCCTTCCGCCGCCCTTCCGCCGGCTTCCGCCGGCGGCGGCGGCCTCGTTTTACTTCCGCCGCCCTTCCGCCGCCTTCCGTCGAGGAAGAGATGGCAACTACTTCGACCCTCAAAGGCAAGGCCCTTTTTGGAACGCTCCATGTGTGGCACTGCACGCATGTGTGATTGCAAGGGTGCTTCCTCGCTCGCTCGCTCGCCGGCTCTCTTGCTCGCGTGCTCGTATGTGCGCACGGGACAGCATCGTCGACCTGCGAAGGTATGTCCGTACGTGTGCAAGTACAACTTTCGCACCTACCCTCGCGTGTGACGTGTGTATGCGGCTGCGAACAAGGGGCAGTCGTTGCACCTGGTCGCACAACATATTGTAATGAATCACCAACTTCCACCAATCATAAAATGAATTTCGCTAGTCGCAGCTCGCTGCGCTACTTCCCTCGATGCGAACACTGCCACCGGACGGACTTGCGGCGGCCTCCTCACGGTCAGCTATTGGCGGTGTGCCGGCCCATTTGCAAATGGTATGGCAAACTAGTTCGCTTCACAACCCTCGGGCGCTTTACGACCGAAACCAATGATTGCTCGATCAGCTCACGAACTTATTTTCTCCTGCAAGCCACTGTCCAGATCTACGGCTTCTCCACCATGGGCTACCCAAGCGCATTCAGCAACGCTGAAATCATTACAATTGATCAGACAAAAACACCCATTTGCTCATTGAACCCCGTGGATCTAAAGCCACCTCTTTGCGACATCGAGTTCCGTGAATCCAGACACACTGAAAGGCAATCATGCGCTCGATCGTTTTTCCGCACCCGACAGGTAGAAGTCGCTAAATCTTATGAACAGACCTCCCGACCTGCCCACCCTGGATACCGCGGCCGACAGATCCCCAGGTCCACGGAGAATGCCCGAGCTTCTCGCCCCTCCCGACCCGACCTGCCAATTCTGCGTACCGCGGCCGCCAGATCCCCATGTCCACCGAGAATCCCCGAGTCACCCGCCCCTGTGAGCATGACATCATAAAACTAACAGCACAATACATAACATCACATAACATACCGTGGCAGAACAGAACATGATAACTTAACATGGCACGACACATTGGCACATACCATAAAACACCATCAACACGCATAACATGTCTTAGCATATTAAACATGGCATGACATATCGGAACGTGCAGGGCGCACTATAACATCATACAGCGTAGCATACAACATCCGATCATACCATGTCAGAACACATAATACGATATCATTGCAAACCAGGTCGCAACATTGACACAACACGTCACAATACATACCATACCATACTCTGACAGACAATACCGTGATAGCTACTGGCATAGCGTACACTACGGTAACAATACATAACATGCCATAACACATCATGATATGAAACAGCATGCCATAGCAGACCATCACATAAGATAGCATCGTCAATACAATGGCATAGCGAAGTACCCCATGACATGAAGGAGACTACTGGAATATATCATACCATGTCCTAGCACATCACCTAATCATTGCTGTACTTGTGCGACCATGCCGGCAACGAATGTAATTGAACACCAAGGACAATCACATGCCGAAGACTAACACCATGGAAAGCCATCGCATACCATACCATATTGCGCATTGTGCAAGACAACCAACATACCAGAACACAAGTGTTGCAATACTGCTGCCACTACGGAAACGTATCTGATGCAATGCCTGAGACTATTACATAAACGAAGAGGTATGCTATAGCCTGCGCAGGACATGCCATCGCATAGTGAACATGCTGTAGCGTAAACAACATGGCATAGGGGCATAGCATACCACAGCATCGATACCACCATAACACAACACATCATTGTATTCCATAGCGGAACATCACGGAGTATACTGTACCATTCCTTAAACTACAATGCCATACGTGCTGTGTGATGGCTACCACGGCGGCTACACATGTACCACACCATACATCAAAACCATATCGTGATGACAACCCATAGCAGACCACAATGAAATCAACATTGCTCAATGTAGCCAGCCGGCCATCACATACTTATACCCGTGATCAAACCACTACAACGAATACTCGATAACAACATCGTCTGGGATGGAGATGTACGAAACCACATGATCTACTCACAACGTTACGCAACGCATAGATAGCATCGTGCAGAACATAGAAGAGCATGGCAAACCATAATAACACACCATGACATAACTATACATACAAAAAAAGACCATGGCAACTCACAGGATGGCATGGCGGAGCGTAGCGTCGCATTCGCCTATCGAACTGATTCACCATTGCATGGGGGCACGACAACATCACCGGCCGTGCCATTATATCCGCCACAACATTTGCAGCTGTTGGTGTGCGTCGGGCCCTGTGGCCTCCTGCGAACCAGTACTTGAGGCCCCCCCGACACATCGAGCCCAAGATGCGTTCATTCGTGCGGACAAGTCCCTGCATGTTTGGCCTTCCAGGCATCGGCTGGTCCCTAGAGGGGACCAAGTTCCAGGCCTTCCAAGTCCACGGGAAGGGGTTGTTCCATGTCCCCTCCCCCTCCCAAGGCGCCCCCCCCCGCCCGCCCAAGCGCGGTGGCGCAACTGGATAATCAAACGCGACGTGCGCGCCGACGTCAAGCTGGCACCAAGAATGCACAGGCGCAACAACGAACGATTGGCCGACGTGCCTAACGTGGCACGCGTCACGACGTCACGCCAGCCCATCGGGAACACAACACAACAACATACAACATGACTGTGAGGCGCTACCGCAATTTTCTCAAAGCAAGAGGGGAGGGCTCTCAATTTCCTGGCGGCAAAGTCAATGTTCTGCGTGCTTCGCGGGCGCACCATTATAACTCCGCCAGGGGGCTGAATCAGGCAGGAAGGAGGAAACGAAAAAGCCCGAGCCCAAAGGGCTGCAGAAGAGGAAGGAAAGGGAAGGCAACGACGTGCCTGCTCGGATCCCTCAGTTCTAGGGTTCCACCCCGAACAAGTCCGATTGTCACACGCCGCCGTAATTACCTAAAGGCTAAAAGGGAAGGCACTCATTATCATGGTGGCAGAATCGGTTCTTCGGCATGTTTTGCAGACGCTCCACCCACCACATATTGTGGTGACCGCTCCAGAATCTCACTTTCTCGAAATGCCTCCAAGACGAGGTGGGCCAGCTGCCAAACTGGCGGAGTCACTGGGGGGACCGCCGGATGAACTGCAAAAACCACTTGAGGTGGACACACTGAAGGTTCGCAGCGCCTGCCCACTGGCGACCTTCGCACCCGGTCTGCGGGGGTCGGTACGGGGTGACCAGCCAACGGGGGCAGGCGGCCAAAAAACGAAAGGGTTCGGCAAGTCTGGCACCGCATGGGCTCTTCTGGCAGGCGCCCAACACACAGCAGATGGTGCCTCCATGAAAAAATCCTCGGCTAGTCCAGGCAAGCGTGGCCCCCGCTGGTAGAGTGAAGGAGCACGGAGCTCGCGCACCGCGCGGTCCGCCCGACCGAGCACCTCCACCCTCCTTGGGGGGTCCGCCGAGATATGCCCGCAGAGCGCTGCCCCTGGCGCTGCAGGGCGCTGGCCCGCCTTCGGATTAAGAGCCAAACATCCTTCCGGGGGCAAGGGGGACCAGTGAAGCGCGCCCCCCCAATGTCCTCCTGCCCGTCCCGGTTCATCCGGTTGGAGCCGCTGATGTTTACGTGGTACTTATGCACGGACATTGTTTCCGGATTCGTGGCCTCCAGAGATAAGACGTGGGAGGCGCTCGGCTTCCACCTCCCGAGCCTCGCGACCGCGCGGCACATGGCGGCGCAGTCCAGAGCACCCCTGCAGCTACCGCCTTTTCATCCAGTAGAGATTCGACGTCTTGCCAGCGGATCAGCCTCTCGCCCCGAAAAGAGGGGTGACCTTCAGACGTCCAGCGCTGGGGGGCCAGCCGCGCCAACTCCCCAATCGCTCTGGCCCGGCGCAGGGGGGTTCCTAGCAGCGTGCCGGTCCCCGCAGAAGCCGAAGTTGCACTGGTCCGTCTTGCCCACCTCGATGAAGATTGCCCTTCGCCCGCGGCCCTGACGCTGCGCCGGGCCTCGCCTCCGCCTCTCAGGGCGACGCCCCTGCCGTGGTAGGCCTAGTTGGCGGCCCGCGGCTTGCCCTGCCCCGACGCCCTGAGCATGGAGAAGAGGGCAACCGAAATGGCTGCCGACCTAGCGACGACCCCCAGCATCCCAGGCTAGTGGGCATCTGAGGTTAGGCTTCGCGCTGAGGCGCTCGATCCCGCCGGGCGCGGGCCAGGGCTGGGGGGGCAATTCCAAGGGGCCCAAGAACCAAGCAACGACGTGGAAGTGTCAGGCCACCATCTACACGTCTCTCACCGGCCCCTCCGCCTGGCCCCAGTGATGCACCAGCTGCGCCGCGTTGTCGAGCGGGATGTCCACGTCCTCCCCGCGGCCCTCTACCCCTGGCCCGCGCAGGAAGGGCCCCGCCTTCCGCGCGCGCGCGCCAAGAGCGCCCGCTGCTTCTATCCCGCGGCGCAAGTGTTGCGGGCCCCTTGGGCGAGGTTTCCACGCGGGTGCTGGTTCCTGACTTCCTCGCGCTCTTCGCGGCGCCCCCGCCCCTCGATCCGCGGCTGGGCGTTCGAGCGCCGCGCCGCTGGCCCTGGCGGAAGCGGACGACCCAATTAGGCGAGCGGGCGCCCCGATGCCTCTCGCGCGGCTTTCCCCCCCCTCTCGCGCGGCCCGGCGCGTCTTCGAAGGGCGGGGGGCCATCGCCCAGTCAGTGCCTGTCTGAGGCTCCCAATGCCTCCGCCCTCGGGGTGCCCTTCCTGCCGCGCGCCTTTCCGCCTCCGACCGTTCTGGGCCACGGGGCCCGCTGGCGCG